GTTGTTGTGGATTTTTGGGCAATTGCAGGTTGTTGTTTTTGAGGGATTTTTGGGCAATTGCAGGTTGTTGTGAGGAATTTTTTGGCAATTGAGGGCAAACGGGCAATTGAGGGATTTTTGGGAATTTTTTGACGAATCTGTTGTGAGGAAGTTTTTGGCAATTGGAATTTTTTGCCAGATCTGGGTTCTGTCGAACATGGAAGGAAGAAAAACAGTAACAGATGGGCAAAGATGGTGATGTGGGATCCATTTAGATGTATCTGGCACGATTTTGTCAGTTAGCATGCACATGTCATCACTTTTTTAAGTTTTGCTCTCCACGTCATCAAAAAAATATAAAAAATGCCACCTAAGCAGGGTTAACGGCCCAAATTAACAGAAGGACTAACGGAGTGCATTTTGTATAATTGAGGGATCAAAAAAGTGCAAAAAATTGTTGAGGGATCAAAAATGTTCATTTCTTAAAGTTAAGGGACCAAATTAAGCATTTAACCTAAAATAAAATAAAAAACCCAAAATCAACAACGGTACAACACCTAAAAAGCAAAAGGCTTCGTTAAATTAATGTGTGCTTCACCTTAGTAAACTTTAAAAAGAGTTGATTACCATTAGGGGCCTAGTTTTGTGATTTAAAGACAAGATTATTACGGAAATTTTTTTTTTTTTTTTTAATTTAACAGGTGGATTGAATGATTCTTATTATTAGGGGGAGGAGAGAATCTTCCATCATCGAAGCAGATTAGTAGAGAAAAGGGGAATCTACTAATGATGGGCAGCCACGTGAAATGTAAGTGATTGGGACTGGGCTTTTGACGTTATACCTTTAAGAGGTGGACTACAAGGCCCACACGGATTTCCACCGCTCTTGTTGCCTTGAAATGTGCGGATTTATTAACTTTCCACGGTGGAGAAATTATTTATATTTTTTTTATTAACATTTCTGTTTTTGATAATTATATTTAATTTGATTAATTTGAAATTAAATTTTATCAAAAAAAATTTCTTAATA